GGGGGGGGGGGGGGAATCAAATGGAGGCAGAGGCCGGCGATTGGGTATAGAGAGAGAGAGAGAGAGTTTTAGGAGAGAGTGGCAATGGCGAAACGTTATGTGCGTGGGAGTGTGAGTATTATACTGCCTCCGTCCAAAAATATACACTCCTTAGTAGTAATATAATAGTAGTAAATAATATAATAGAATTAAAAGTAATAGTAGGTGTACTATATATATTTAAGTAGTCACATTAGAGTTTTTGTTACTAGTACTTCTTTTTCCAACAGCTTGGAGGTTATTAACTTGTATCATATTGTTACTTTAAATACAATGTTTGTTTCGATTATTACCTAAATTTTATTGTATTGTATCGTTAAATCCGCTATTATATAACAACAAAAAGTACTTTTTTTGTGAAATGACGGATTTAGTGTGGTGGCGTCGTTACCTTACTTTTTCTCTCGTCTTGACCTTCTTTATTACTTAAATAATCATATTTTATTATTTATCTTACTTTTATTATATAATAATTCTACTATGTATCCTATTTTTTCTTAGTAATGTTACAAGTTTATTCTTCATATTGTTGGTGTCCGATATCATGAAACATCGGCAAACGATATAATCTATCCAAATGTTGTATACATCAAAACGATACAATACAATATTATACGATACATTATGAAAAGATACATAACAACCATCCAAACAAGCTATAAATGAATACAAAGAGTTTGGAGTATTAAATCAACATTATTATGGGTTGTTTAGGGTGTATAATAATAGTATTGAGATTAGTTATGTTGTGATTATCTCTTATCGACTATTCAGTTTGATGTATTAAAAGTTTTGAAATGACAATTATGTCTTTATACATACTTATTCATGTATTTAAAAATCGTGATACTGCTAATATCATGGTTTGCTATGTATAAGAATGGTACTCAATATGGTGTATAACTAATAAGTAATAGTTATATATAGGTAGAAAAATACTACTACCAAACAAGGAATTAATAGTACCAAAGTTAACACATTTTATTATTTAGCCTAATACATTTCTACCAAACGAGCCTATAATTGTGTAGATTACATGTATATGTTAAGTTTTATAATATGTATACATATTTGAGTTATTTTATATAGTTAATAATATTTAAAAGTATGTAACATAATTGTATTCGAAGAAAGATTTTTTAATTTTTAAAATAGTAATAATGTCACATAAAATATAATAAATAGGGACAAAATTTTCAAGAATTATTATCCTTTATTCTGAATACTGATATTCTTTTTGAAATTTAGATTGGTTGATGCTGGTGCTTTTTCATATTACCGCTGCCAGAAAAAAACAACAGCAGACTTTTTTCATTTCTATTTCCTCTGCGGAAGCGGGTGTGT